TTGGTGGTTTATTATTCTATGGAAGCATCATTTGGGTCTCAGGTGGAAGTTGCTTCTCTTTATATGCACCCTCATCCAGCACAGGGATGCTCCCAGATTCCAAATGGGGCTGCCCCTTGACCACACTGCGAGTTATGTAGAATCTCCTTGCCCCCCACCCTCCCACACTGCACCCCTCTTCCTCTGCTCATTATTAATGACAATCCTATCCGCTCACCTTTCCTGTGCCCACTGTCTGCTCTAGCCATTGAACAGCTAAGAAGAGGACTCATGTACTTGGCATTTGAAAATACCTTTTGAGCGTTCATTTCTTCTTTAAATAAAAGGGAGTTTTCAAAGCATGTCCACACTTCTATTGATCACTAGGAAAGCCTTTTTTTCACTCTCTGTAAAGGTATTATTGTTGTTAGGGTCACCGAGTCGACGTCTTCTCACAGCGACCACATGTGAGCAGGACTGCCCCATTTTTTAACTTTAATTATGAACTGGGTAGAGCTTTAAACTTCTGATCATCAGTTCTGTATTCAACAATTTAAGATACTTATCTACCCTCCCAATAACTTACCCTCTCCCCGCTCCTACCCATAGGGTCTTATAACCAATGGGAGCCGATTGTCAGGCCTTTCTCCTGTGGAGGCCTGAGTGGGTATGAACCCTCAGCCTTTTTATTAACAGCTAGGCACTTAACCACTGCACTAATTAAAAAAATTCTCTCTTAAATAACATTTCCCACCTGAAACTTCCATAATAATAAATTAAGTTGAATTTATATTTAAAAAGGAGACCATTAGAATTAATTGGAAAGTTTTGGACAATTTAACATTATATTATTACTAGTACTATAGATTAATGAGAGGAGCCCTGGTGGTGTATTAGGTTATGCTATTGGCAGCTAACCTAAAGGTCAGTGGTTCAAGACTTCCAGCTACTTCTTGGTAGAAAGATGAAGCTTTCTACTTCTTTAGAACCCCCAGGGACCATTCTATTCTGTCGTATAGGGTCACTATGAGTTGGAACTGACATGATGATAATGAGTGAGTGATAGATTAATGAAAGGTCAAGGGTTATTAACAGTAATTATTGGTTACTAAGTTACCGAAAGGTTTCTGGGAAGACTACATGTGATATTATATTTAATGATTCATTACATTCAAATGATTAGACTTCACATTTTAAATTGGAACTATTTTGAACAATTTAATAGTGTATCATTACTTGCATTATGGGTTAGTGAGTGACCAAGAGTTGCAAAGAGTGGTTTTTGGGTACTGAACCATATGAGGTCTTTGTGATGGCCCAGCTGCCCATGGTGCTTTCAAAACAGCTCCTGTTCTGATACCCAGGGTGATGGGTGATGGTGTTGTTCAGGGCACAATGATGTCTGTGATCCTGTGTGACGGACCTTCAGAGGGACTCTCTCATCACTCCTTTGCTCACCAGCTCCATGACTCCAACACTGGCCCCCAGGGATAGAATGTCAAAGCATCAAAGTTGTTGTCAGACTCAAGCAAGACAGAGACAGTAAAGTTTGAAGCTAGTAAACTGCACCTGGAGAAAGCTCAGAACCAACCCCCCACCCCCACCCCCCCAGCCATCAAGACCCAGAGCAGGCGTGTTTGAGAAGTTAGGGAAGCAGGGATCTCCCATAGCAACATAAGGATAAACACTGCTTCTCCAGAACTTGGAGAATTTGCCGATGCAAAGGAAAATCAGGGCAATCAGTAGAGAAAAAGACAATCCCTAGCACATTCCACAATGGGGCAGGTACAACCAAGAACCACAGAATAGTCCAGAGGAACAGACCAACGTCAGATGAGGAATCTGCATACAACCAGGGTAGGCTTCCATGAAAGTTTTCGCCATTTCCTGGGGGTTGGGGGAGGGAGGGGAAGGGCAGAAGTAGAAGTTAATTTCAGATGTTGACATAAGAATTCCATTATTCTAACTCAATCCCCCTTCCCCCTTTTTTTTTGGTCTTTAGAGAACAGGAGTTCAAAACCCCTTACTTTAGTCAATACAAATCCCATCTGGACCTGGTAGATCCCACCTGACCCTTGCTGTCAGAATCCAGCCCCTTGAACGGGGAGACGGAGTCTGATGAACACAGGCTGAGGGCTTTGCCAGGCCAGCTTCCCCAAATGTCCTCCTTGGGATATTGTCTTGTCCTGACACCTTGCTACAGTGAACCTGACTCTACCCCAAGCGCTTCCCGGACCTGGTGACCTGACCTTCTTAGTCCCTACAAAGTTCTGTTGCCTTTCCCCACCACCCTACCACACCCTCACTCTTTTCTCAGCTTGCCATTGGGATATCAGTGTCTGATCCTCCTCTGCCTCCTCCTGCTCTTACTGTATCGTTTTTCTGTATCTTTATCACCTTACAAAGATTTCCCCATTTTTGTTTTATATATTTGTCTTTTCCACTAGACTAAATAGCAGTGCATCTAGGAGCCCTGGTGGCATAGTGGCTATGAGTTTAGCTGCTAATACGAGATCAGTAGTTCAAAACCACCAGCAGCTCCTTGGGAGAAGGACAGGACTTTCTACTCCTGTAAAGAGTTCCAGTCTCAGAAATTCACAGGGCAGTTCTACCCTGTCTCATCAGGTGGCTATGAGTTGGCATCAACTCCATGGCAGTGGGTGAGTGAGTGAGTGAGTGAAGTAGCAGTGCAGTGTTAGGAATGTAGGCTCTAGGTTCAGAATGACTGGATTAGTCCTTGTTCTCTTCATCTTAGGGCAATCATATACAGAAGGAACCCTGGTAGTGTAGTGGTTAAGTCCTTTGATCTTAACTGAAAGGTCAGTGGTTTGAACCCACCAGCTGCTATGTGGAAGAAACATATGGAAATCTGTTTCTATAAAGATTTTCAGCCTTAGAAACGATGAAGCAGCTCACTCTGTTTCACAGGGTCCCTGTGAGCTGAAATTGGCTTGAAGACAATAGGTTTTCTTGATAAATCACATACACGGTCTCTCTAGATTTCAGTTTCTTTATCTAACCTTAAAGGGCAGTGATGAACACCAAATCCACAACCAACACAGAGTAAATAGTCAACAAAAGTGAGTTGTTGGCTGTTTGGCGTCTTGATTATTGTTCTTTACCCCACTTCACGTCTCCTCCATCCTTTCTCTTTCTCAAAGTGGTCACATCCTCCTGCACACAGCTCGGCCACTTCCTTCGTTGTTCTTCTACATGATTGTCTTTCCTCCTGACCCTTCCTGATCTGAAACCAGCACCCCCCCACATTTAAATGGTGCCTTTTCTGCTATCACCAAGGATCTCCTCCTGGACGGTGACCACCACTCACAATTGTTGAACATTCGCAGCTACGTACTGTCCTTTCTAAATCAAAAGTTATCCAAATAGTCACATTAAATCTGGGTTTATTGTGGCATCTGGGTTCCTCTTCCTTCATCTTGGTTGTTGGGCCAACAGCTGTTTGCTCGGGGGCTCCACATCTGGTTAGGAACCCCAGAACTCCCTGCCTTTCCATATTCTTCAGCATCTCACTCCTGGGTCACCGTCTCCACTCCACAACTAGGTTCCCAGGTTTCTTGGATTCTTTCTCTCATAATTGACAAGAAAGTATCTTTTATCCAGTTAGAATTACCTTGCTCAAGCCTTGGTTGGTTGCCAGATGCCTCACTCTGTTGGCAATTAAAAAACTCCCGAGCCACTAACAAGAGGAAGAAAAGGGAAATTAGAGATCTCCAGCAGAGATAGCATCTCCTAATCACAAATTTGGGATTTTCCAGTCTTTGGGTCACTCAGAGTTTAGAGTGTTTCATGTGACCTAAACTTCTGTCTCCTCATCCACTGGGATATCCAAGAGAATATCCCAACGGGGATTCTTCTGTTTTCTATACAGAAAGCTGCCCCAGGATTTAAGAATGAAAGAGTAATGGGACTATTGCATTCAGTATTTGTTCACATTAAAAAGTTATTAGATAGCAGGGGAAAATAATAGACGTACAATGTGTTTTAAGAAAAGAAAAATAAGGATTCCTCAGGGACAGGGCTTAAATCTGTAGCAATGAGTCCATAAAACATAAATTTAAAAATGATTCTAGACCATTGTAAATTTGATTATGCTTCATCAAACTCGATACTTGGCCAGTTGACCACCTGATGGACGTGACCTGAATTTGTTATGGGTTTACGTACCGCTTCCTTATTCTATGACAGACATTTCTTCCCTGGATTTTTGAATTTTGATGGGGCTCTTTTCCTTCTTGTGCATTATTTGTATTTTTGCCTTTGTATTATTATGATTTTATCCTTACCACCTTAGTGCAATTTGTTGTTTATTGCTTTCTGTTGGGTCTTCCAGCTGTGAAGCACCGGAAGAGTGGATGCATACTGATAATAACAGATTCAAGGGGATATGGGGAAGACAGGGGTGGGTGGCAGAGAGGGAAAGGGGATTTCGGGAGTCAATAATGAAGACGGGAGGGAGGAGGGAGTATAGAATGGATTGTGATTGCATAACCCCTTTCAAAGGCGCTTTAACCATGGGAGTGGATGGGAATGCTCTAAAAGTGATGTGGTAATGGTGGTACAATTCTCCTTGATGTGACTGAAGGATTGAACTATTGAATTGTATGAGATGTAAACTGTGTGCCAATAAAACTGTTGGGGAAAAATGAGTCTAGAAAAGAGGGGACTGTGGGCTTAATTGTATTAGGGAGTATGTATCACTTGCTCGAAACACACACACACACACACACACACAACACACTTTTTCCTAGAAACATGGACATTTTCAACCATTGCTTTCAAAGAGGTATCTGTGTATTTTCTCTGTTGAATGCTGTTTTCGTGGACTGTTATATCAAAGGTTTCCGATGATCTAACTGGTAACCAGTTTTAAATGACTTTGATACGAATTTTAAAAACCACCACAACAGCGGCCAAACCTTATGTAGGAGGGGCTGAAATTCAAGGAATGAAGGCCCCGTGTAGGGATAGGCCCTTCTCGCTACCACACTCCAGTATGTGATGTATCCGAAATCTTAGTCTCTAGGCTTATGGTTATAAGCTTTTTGGAGTGAGTAGTCTGCTAGGCTTATGAGGTAGGGTTAATATAGGGTGTGTCCTGAATTCCCACTTTAGTAGAGGGTGTGGTTCAAGTTGTGGTTGGTAGGTGCCCTACAGTCGGTTCCGATCCTTAGTGACCTTATGCATAATAGAACGAAGCACTGCCTGGTCACGTGCCGTCCTCACAATTGTGCTTATATTTGAGCCCATGGCTGCAGCCACGGCGCCAATCCATCTCCTTGAGGGCCTTCCTCTTTTTCACTGCCTTCTACTTCACCAAACACCGTGTCCTTCTCCAGGGACGGGTCTCTTTTGACAATATGTCCAAAGTTTGTAACATGACATCTCGCCATCCTGGCCCCTAAGGAGCACTCTGGCCGTACTGTTTCCAAGGCAGACTTGTTGGTCCTGTTGGCAGTCCGTGGTACTTTTAATATTCTTCTCCAGCACCACAATTCAACGGCATCCATTTTTCTTCCATCTTCCTTATTCAATGTCCTACTTTGACAGACATATGAAGCCATTGAAAGACCATGGCTTGGGTCAAGCGCTCCATAGCCCTCAAAGTAAGAGCCTTGCTTTACACTACTCTAACAAGGTTTGTGCAGCAGATTTACCTAATGCAACAAGTCTTTTGATTTCTTGACTGTTGCTTCCATGAGCACTGATTATGAATCCAAGCAAGTTAAAATCCTTGATAACTTCAACCTTTTTCCATTGATCATGTTACCTATTGGTCCAGTTGTGAGGATTGTGATTTTCTTTACATTGAGTTGTAATCCATGCTGAAGGCTGCAATCTTGACCTTCATCAGCCAGTGCTTCAAGTCCTCCTCACTTTCAGCAAGGAAGGCTGAGCCACCTGCATTTGTAGGTTGTTAATAAGCCTTCCTCCAATCCTGATGTCACATAATTCTTCATATAAACCATCTTCTCCGATGATTTGCTCAGCATCCAGCCTGAATAAATATGGTGAGAGGATACAACCCCGATGCACACCTTTCCTAATTTTAAACCACTCAGTATTCCTTTGTTCTGTTTGCATAACTGCCTCTTGATCCATGTACAAGTTCTGAATGAGCACAATGAAGTGTTCTGGAATCCCCAGTCTTTTCAAGGATATCCATAGTTTGTTATGATACAGACAGTTACATATCTTTGCCTAGTCAATGCAACACAAGTAAACTTTTTTCTGGCACTTTCTGCTTTCAGCCAAGATTCATCTGCCATCAGCAATAATAGCCCTTGTCGCTTGCCCTCTTCTGAATCCACTTGGACCCTCTGGAAGCTCCCTGTCAAAGTACTGCTTCAAACATTTTTGGATGATCTTCAACAACATTTTATTTTCATGTGATAGCAATGATATTGTTATACAATTTGAGAATTCTGTTGGGTCACTTTTATTTGGAAGAGTTACAAATATAGACCTTCTTCCAGTCAGTTGGCCAAGCAGCTTGCTCCCACATATCCTGGCATAGACAAGCGCCTCCGATGTTTCATCATCTTGTTGAAATATTTCAGTGGGCATTCCATCAATTCCTGGAGCCTCATTTTTGGTTAATGCATTCAGTGCACCTTGAACTTCTTCCTTCAGCACCATTGCTACCTCTTGAAACAGTGGAATGCCAACTACTTCATTTTGGCAAAGTGCTTCTGTACATTCTTTCCATCTTCTTTTGATGTTTCCTGCATCACTCAATATTTTTCTGTTAGAATCTTTCAAGATTCCAATTCGAGGCTTGACTTTTTTCTTGAGTTCTTGCAGTTTCAGATATCCTAGAGTTCAAATATTACCTTCTGGGTTTCTAATTCTAGGTCCTTGCACAATTCATTATAATATGTGGCTTTGTCTTTTCTAGCTGCCCTTTGAAAAGTTCCATTCAGCTCTTTGATTTCATCAGTTCTTTAATTTGCCGCTCTATGGCAAACTAAGAGCAAGTTCCAAAGTCTCTTTTGACATACACTTTGATCTTTATTTTCTTCCTGTATTTCTAATGACTCTTTGCTTTCTTCATGAATGATGTTTTTGATGTCCTCCCACAGCTTATCCAGTCTCTGTCATTAGTGTCCAAGGAGTCAAATCTGTTCTTGGGATGTTCTTGACACCCAGGTGGGATAGACTCAATCGCATTTCGGCTCTTATGGACTTGTTTGAATTTTCTTCAGCTTCAAACTGAACTTACATATGAGCCACTGGGGGTCTGTTCCATAGTCGGCCCCTGGTCTGGTTTTAGCTGTGGATACTGAGCTTCTCCAGTGTCCCTTCCCATAGATGTAGCCAATTTGGTCTTGGTAGTCCATCTGGAGACGTCTGTGTGTATATTTGCCTATTGTGTGGTGGGAAAAAGGCTTTTGCTATGAACAAGACATTGGTTTTGCAAAATTCTATCACGTGATCTCCAGCACTAATGTGTCCTCAATTTTTTGACAACATGAAGCTAAAACTACGCCTCCATCGAGAGCCTAGAGGTAGGTGAAATACCATTTTCGTGGCCTTCCTCTTCCTGAGCACGTGCAGAAGTCTAATTCTTATGCTGAATAACCCTGATGAACACCAATGAGACACCCTAGAAGAACCTGCTAGAACAGTGCTTCTCAACTTTCCGAATGCCACTGTCCTTAATAAAGTTCCTCATGTGGTGGTGACCTCCCAACCATACATTTATTTTTGTTGCTACTTCATCACTGTCATTTTGCTACTGTTATGAATTTGGGGGAACCTCTGTGAAAGGGTCATTTGACCCCCAAAAGGGTCGCGACACACAGGCTGAGAACTGCTGTGACTAGAAAAACCTTGGTCTTGGACTTGGAGAGCCGTCTTGGCAATGTGAGTTCTGCTGTGCTCCTCTGCTTAACCCACACAGTAAAAAAAGCTTCTTATTTGGCTTTTGGTCATTTTGCATTGCTGTAGATGTGCCAGGTGAGACCCGAGAGATGGCAGTTACACTTTGGCAAAGTTTGTTCTTTCGGTTTTGAACCTGCATTTGTCTCCACATGAACTCATGTTCTCGGACTTGAGCCAGTGGCCACTGTCATCTGGCCTGATAAGTTTCTCCAGGCTTATGAACCAAGAGCCTGTCATTTGACTTGCTGATTCATCAGCCCCTACAACCATATGAGTGAAGAGAATTCATACGATTGGCATCTAAACTACTGACTTTGGACTTTCCAGCGTCCACAAATATCTGAGCCATTTCCTCGATGCTTGTGTGTTCTCTGAGACACTGGAGTGAACTTCCAACCTAAGGTGTGGGGGAGACTCCTGAGGGGAGTGGTAGATGATAGGAGAGATGGTGAAGTGGTGCAGCATTTGGGAGGAGTTGGATATTTGGGGCATCTTTAACTTACTCATAGGGACTGCTTGTGCTGATCCTTATAAAACATTCTTCACACAAAAGGAAAGATAGTCTCTGAAAACTACAATAGCAAGTGATCATTCTGAGGCTGGAAAGCTCCCCATGATATACCAGGACTAAGACCTGGAAGGCTTTCCAGGAGGGGAGGCCAGAATCCCAGTCCAGGCTACCTGCATTTACGGTGAACCAGAAAATGTAGGAAGGGAGTGAGACTCCCTCAGCTCTGAGGGGACGAATGGAAGGCAGGGGAGAGGTAGGATGCTGTCTGGAAGGAGGAGAAGGAAATCTCCAAAGCAGGGAGCAACATGGAGGGAGTCTAATGTGGGATAGCTGGAGCACCTCCTGTGGGCAGGTGAAGACGAAAAGACCATGGGAACAATAGGTGCTTTGTCATGCCCAGGTTGAGAGTGCAAATCCAGGTCAAACCAGGTGGATGGGCGCTAAGAAGTGGACAGAAAAAGGAAGGGAGGCCATGTGTGTAGGTGTTTCAACAAAAGTCAAGGAGATTCTCTGCAAGGGGGCAATGTGTGTGAGGGGCTGATGGAGAGGGTGGACCATGACCTCCAGCTGTTGAACAGCTTCTGGGAAGCAGGTGGTTGAGGCAGGAGGAGCATCAGCCAAGGGGAATCCCACATCCACAACTAAACCGTCCCTTGAAGCTGGTATATTGTCCACAAGGACTCCTAGTGGAGAGGAACAGCGATGGTGGTCTGCTGGGGAGCTGCTTCCTGTCCTAGGTTCTTCTAAGTCAAGCTGCTATCAGTGTGTTGTAAGCCACAAAGACCCTCATGATAGAGGTCTTGTTAAGCATTTTGTCCCTGCTGTCCACCTCAGTGCTGACACATGGTAGGAACTTAATGAATGGAAACAGATGAATAAATGTCCCAGGGCCTTAAAAGAGGGCTGACTAATTACCATTGTGGAATTCTTTGCAAATTTTTGTTAGGCCAGGGTACTCCATCAGGTTGACCTCGCTGAACAATGCTTCCAGAAGCGTCAGGTCGAATGTCTTCTCCAGTTTTTCGAGGACCTTGTACACCACCGATTTTACAGGGACCAGGTTTCTACAAGACTCTTGACAATCCTTTAAAAAAAAAATCGGATGAAGGAAATATAAACACAGGACTTTCGAATTACAGATGAACCCTAGGAAGTAATTTTATGGATATTGTATTCTGTAAGATAAGGTATCTTCTCATGTGAAGTTTTAGAATTTCTGTATACAAATGAAACAAGTAAGTCCTTCTTCCTTAAAACAATACTGGTTTGTAAATCTGATTTCCTCACGCTGATTTACGTTAGGGATAAGGAGCTATTTGGAAGCATAAAAGTGGGTTTGAAGTTAAAAGATGGGTAGCTTAAGATCCTGGTCATGATGTTTTAGGACTAGCCTTATCAGGTGATGAGTGGCCATTCTGTTGTCTGGACAACCACTAGCTTTCCCTTGGGAATGACTGATGCAGAAGGTCCCAGGGAAGCCAGATGCTAGCCTCTTCCCATTATGAACTTGACCGTATGGAAAACATACTCCTAGAACAAAGAGAAGATATGCTTCTCTGTTTCTCCCAGGTCTCCTGCTAAAATTTACAGACTGAGAATAGAAAAAAGAAATCACTTGGGGCGAGAGAGATGGGGGAGAGATAGGAAACTAAAAACCATAGGAGGAGGAATCTGCAGAGAAAATACAAAGACTCTGCTCCCCAAATTACATGATACCAATTTCCGGAGGGTTTTAAGGTTCTCAGATCTAAGCATTTTAAATGGATGCCCACGGAATGAAATTCTGGACCAATTCTCTTATTTAGATTTTTAATTTTAGTTTAACTTTTGTTGCAATAATTCCTACAAAACATTACTCATGTAGGGAACATACTTGCTTCTGACTCAGCCTATGTCTGGGGCTAGTCACTCCCCTCCAACAGGCGTCCCCCTCCTTCAGTGGGAAGCAGGAGCAAAGTCTGGTGATGCCTGTTTTCCCCACCACTTTACGTTGTGGGATATTTACAGACATACTTAACATGTCCCGCCGCTCATTGGTGGCCCCTCCCTCAGCTAGCTGTATTCTGTTGTTTGGATCTAGACTAGGGGAGCGTGATGTAGTGTAGGCTGGTTTGGGTTCAGAAACGTCACTCACTGTAAACAATTTATTGCTGATGAGGCCGCGGTCTCGGAGGGTCTCCAGGAAAGGAAATGTCTTGTCTATTGCATGTGAAATCTCCACCTTGTGCATCCTGTAGTGATTGAATATCGCTTCATAAGCCCGCCTGTCATTTACATTTTGGTCTTCAATTGACATCCTGGGAGGAAAATAATGTCATCAAAAACAACCATTAGCTTCCAAGACACTTGTAACTCACCTATAAAACAAATGGACCTGATTAGAGACTAAGATCAATGGAATAATTAAAGATGTAATAGAAGAGAGCATGGTGTTTCAAAAAGACCTAGATAATTGACTGAACATTTTTTTCTCTATTACAAATATTTGAACAGATGCTGTTTTCCAAAACAAGATACATTGTTACAATTCAAGTCTTTGAACAATAAGTATTAGGACAAACTTTTGAGTGTTACAGGAATGTTCTCTGTTCTTTTAAGTAAAGAGACTGAGAGACAATTGTATGGAGACAAAATGAAAATGAAGTACAGATTAGCATAAAATTTGTGCTAACAGGAATGTAAACATTCTCCAACTTTCTGTATTATATTTCTAATCACAATAAAATAATAAGTAACTAAGTGTTTTGGATTGTCAAATGCACTTCATCAGTTATTAAAGTTTCTTATTAAATGTGGTAGTTATATAATCTGTTGTCAATTTAAGAATTAAGAGTGAAGGGGTGGAGTCTAACCTGTCAACCAAGTCACACACCAACGAGGCCTCTGTGTGGGCATGGCCTTCTTCTGGATATTCTGGGAACTCCTGTATTGGGAGGCACTGTCTCTCGGTTTACTCCCTGAGAGACTCTCTACTGACAAGACACATGGACCTTGCTAGTGCCCTGAGCTGAAAATGCCCGTGGTGACGCTTGCCAGCACTGAGATACTTACAATGCCACTGGATCCACAAGACGTCCTGTTCACTGACCTGTGATCTTCCTGCATTCAGCATCATTGCATGTGTTTCGTGAGTCTGAAGATCAATTTATTCATTGGTACTGGACATATGGGCGAATATTGGACCTATGGACTTGATCTAGACTGGGTTGGGATGTTTTCTCAGTATTCAATTGTTCTTGTAAATATTATTATTATACACATATACTGTACACACATGATTGTCTTTATCATACACTTATGGGTATCTATGAATTTGTTTCTCTAGTCTACCAGACTAACACATTAGATATCACTGAAATACGTGGCTGAGAGGTGAAACTATGATTTTAACCAGGCTAGGTCAAGATATTTGGGGTTAATAATGTTGTATAATATATAGGACATGATCAGTGTGTATGTAGAAACTATATTCATATAATACTGATTTTAATTCATTGTAGTGCTTCATGGTCTGAAGATCCTACATTTTTATCCATATCTTAGTGTTAGCAGTTACATTCTCTGCAGTTCCCCTTTATTCTAAGCAGAGCTGTGGGAACTTTATGCACATCTCCTGCAATGATTCTCTAGTCTTCTTGTACATGAAAAGGCTGGGTCATAGTGAATGCACATTTTAATTTACTCAAACCCACTGTGTAGGGTTAGAATGAAATATGCAAAGACCTAGAGTCAGAAAACCAAAAAAGGAAGAACATGCTCAATATATCTCAAGCAGAAAGAACTGAAGAAAAATTTCAAGCCTTGGAGGGAAATATTGAGAGATTCAATGGGCAAAATATTTTTAAACAGTTTTATGGGCATATATTTCACATATCATACGATCCAATAGTTCAATCACATTAATAATTAATAATAGTACAATCATCTCCCCAATCAACCTTAGAACATTCACGTCTCCCTTGTCATCTGCTTTCCCCACCTTTCCCCAACCTTTCCTGCCAGCCCCCTCAAGAAACCATCAATACAGCCACTTGCACTACAGCTTCTGCCCATCCTGAATTTCATACACAGAAAAGCATAGAAAATGAAATGTAGAAAAACAAAACTAAAACACTGTGCACTGCATGAAAGCAAGTCTATTCACATCTCTGGGCTGTGGTCAGAGGGGATTCCAAACTAAACTCGCTGCCATTGAGTCAATGGTGACTCATAGAGAGCTCCTGTGGGTTTCTGAGACTGTAACTCTATGGGAGTAGAAATCCCAATCTTTCTCCTGCGGAAATCCTGGTGTTTTTGAACTGCTGACCATGCAGATCACAGCCCAACTTATTATCACTGCATCCCCAGGGCTCCTTTACTGGAGACTTAATCCAAGTGTGGATCCTGTGAATAGATTTTGGGCTCTCACTGTTATAAGTACCCTTCTTAAACCAGGTGTTCGAAATTTAAGATCTGCTATCATTCCCTCATTGGGGTTCGGATTTTATCATCTACAATCCTTGGATCACATAGGCTGGTATGCTTTATCTGTGTGGGCCCAGTTGATGCCTCACTGAGATGGCTGTTTGCTCAAAGACAAGCATTTAAGGCCTCAGACATTATTTTTTTTGTTGCTAACAGCTAGCACTCTCTAGTTTCTTTGCCACACTTTGTTACCGAACCCATGATCTACTCATGAGGGCAAGCATCAAGCAGGTTCAGGTAATAATAACTAATTGTTCTCAGACTGGGGCTAGAATTAAGTCTGAGTCCAAAATTCATTCATATATCTACAGTTTACATATATCTCTGGTTCACTTTAGAGACATTATTATCATTTTATGTTAGAGAATATCACTGATCCCCCCTCCTGGGGTATAAGGCAGGTCTATTGATAGTGTCATTACTTTAGCCAATGGTGTAGAATTTAAAACACTATTGAGAAAATGACATTATATAACTGTTGCTGGCTATGAACTTAAATGTATGAATCATTGACTTGTACAGATTAAACTCTTATGTGACTGGACACTATTTACACAAACAATGGGAGTTGGTGATGGAGCAAAAAATCCAAGAACATTCATTTACAATTGCGGAACCATGCCTACCAGTTTAATACATGTCATCATAAAGCAAGGGGAGCATTAAAAGAATAAGTATATGATAGCTTCAGGTCACTGCTCATTGGGCAGCCTCAAGGCAAGAGTCCTGCAACAAAGTCCAATTATCGCCAGTTTTATAATCAAGGAATAGCAGACGTCTGGCTCTGAAACACTCGGAGTTTCAGACTTAAGAACAAGGGTCACGGGTCAGTTTGAGATAAAGAATGGGCAACATATTGAATGATGTAGGAAGCATCAAAACAAGATGGAAAAATATACAGAGCCACTGTAACAAAAAGAACGAATCAACATTCAACCATTCCAAGAAGTAGCATGTGACCAGGAACAATGATATTTAAGGGAAAAGTCCAAGGTGCACTAGAGACATTAGAAAAACACAAAGCTCCAGGAATTGAACCAATGGAAAGGTTTCAGCAAGCTGGTGAAGAAAGCACTGGAAGCATTCTTTTGTTCAATATTCTATACCAAGAAATTTGGAAGACAGCTACCTGGGCAAGTGACTGGAAGAAATCTATGTTTGTGTCCATTCCACAGAAAAATGATGCAATAAAATGCAGAAATTATTGAACACCATGACTAGTATCACACTGAAGCAAAATTTTGCTAAAGATGATTCAACAATGGTTGCAACAGTGTATTAATAGGGAGCTGCTAAAATTGCAAACTGGATTTAAAAGAGTATGCGGAATGAGGGATGCCTTTGAAGATATCAGATGGGTCTTGAATAAATGCCGAGAATATCAGAAAACAAATTTTATTTTATTGACTATGCAAAATTATTAGACTGTGTGGATCCCTTGAGAAGAATGGGAGTTCCATAATACTTCATTGTGCTCATGGGAACTTGTATATGGATCAAGAGGCAGTTGTGCAAAAAGAAAAAAAAGGATAGTGCATGGTTTAAATTAGGAAAGGTGTGAGTCATTGTTGTACCCTCTCACTCACCATACTTATTTAATCTGCATGCTGAGCAAATCACCAGAGAAGCTGGCTTATATGAAGAATTATGTGACATCAGGATAGGAGGAAGGCTTATTAGTAACCTGCGATAAGTAGATGATACCACCTTGCTTGCAAAATATGAGGTGAACTTGAAATATTTGCTAATCATGACCAAGGACTGCAGCCTTCAGTATGGATTATGGTTCAATGTAAAGAAAACCAAAATACACACAATTGTACCAACAGTAACATAAATGGAGAAGAGATTGAATTTGTCAATGTTTCATCTTGCTTTGCTCTACAATCAATGCTCATGGAAGTAGCAGTCAAGGTATCAAACAATGCATTTCATTGGATAAAAATGCTGCACAAGACCTCTTTAAAGTGTTGGCAAACAAGGGTATTAATCGGGACTCAGGAGTGCCTGACCCAAACCTCACCTAAGTCATGCTATTTTCAAATCGCTGCATGCATGTGAAAGTTAGACATCGAATAAGGAAAACCAAAGAAGAATAGATGCATTTGAATTATGATGCTGGTGGTGTATTGAAAGTACAATAGACTGCCAAAGGAACAAATAATTATGTCTTGGAAGAAGTACTGTCAGAATGCTCCCTAGGGGAAGAGAGGGAGAGACAAGTCAGGAACGACCATTTCCTGGAAGAAAACATGATGTTTGGTAAAGTGGAGGAGCATCGAAAAAGAGGAAGGCCACTGACAAGATGACTGACACCGTGGCTGCAACATGGGCTCAAACATGGGAATGATTATAAGGACAGCACAGCGCTGGCCCGTTTCATTCTGTTGTCATAGTGTTGATATGCATTGACTCCAACTCTAAGATATCTAACAAGAGCAGCACAAAACCAGTGGCCATATCTCACTCAATGTGAACAAACTGAAAGCATTTTCCTTGCCAATTGAACACACACAAGGATACCCTTTATCGCCACTCTTATTTAACATTAGGCTTGAAGTCTCAGCCAGACCTATTAGACAACAACTACCCAAAACTCAAAAGCATTCAAATCAGTCAAGAAGAAATAAAATCTATTTATTTGCAGATAAAATGATGCTACCTATAGAACAGCTCCCCAAATCAGCAAGATCATTGTTGAAAGTTATCGTGAGATTCAGCAACATGGCACTGTACAAGTTCAACATACAAAGCTCAACCATATTCTGAATAGTAATTAAGAGAGGTCTGAAGAGGAAAACAAGAAAACAATACCATTTACAATAGCAATCCC